ATTAATCAGCTTGTTAGTGCATGGCGTAAAAAGTAATGTCCCAGTCACTGACGAAGGACTCTAATGGATGTTCCAAAAGTCAAAACTAATTGCTGGCTTTTCTCAACTCTCAGTGGACTAATTAACAAGATAATTAATTAACAACTGTATGGGAGATTAGAGAGTCACATGGCAAGTGAAAAAAGGGATGTGTGTGTTGGGGATGACAGGGAGGCGATGAAAAGAGGGGACTATGTTTGGATTCTAACGACCACCTTAAAATATTGCTGCCCCATTTTGTGGATACTATGTTTGTCTATTCTTTTTTTGACCAACAAAGCAAGCACGTGAATTCTCATGCTTTTGTTAAATCTGCCAATCTCCAATCCCTCTTCCAAAGAAAAACTTATCCTACCTCCTTATACACACACACACACTTTATTTTTAATTTTATTTATAAATTATTTTTAACATATTTTACTAAAATCTAAAAAAAAATTAAAACTCATTAAATATATATACTTTAATAACGTACTTAATTTCTCTTCCCAACATTTAATGAAAGGTAAAAAAAAATTTATGATAAAAAATTAATAACATACTTTATAAATTTGAACAAAAAAATTCCCCTCTCACTAAATGGGAGTGTGTGTGTGTGTATATATGGGTGACCTCATGTAATATTTTACTCCCTCTCTCAACAACAAAACCAAATAATGAGTTTTTATATTTAAAATTAGATTCGGTGAGTAACATAAATCTAGTCACTCAGTAAGTATTTCAAGATATAATTTTTAAAAAGAAATTGAAAACAATCTACACAAGCACTTCTCGCATATATATAAAGTTACCTTGAAAATTTTAAGATTTAATATTTTTTAAATATTATATTGAGTAAGTGAATTTAGACAAGGAATCTAAATCCGCTTTTTTTATTGCCTCTGCAGACACATCCTTCCCCATCACGCGCCCTGCCACGTGCTTCATATACATATACGACCAACCAATACACCTTTACAACTAATCATGTTACAAGTATGTATAATTCGTTCATTAACTGATTTTATATTTTGTAAAATAAAAGAGGACGCAAGAGAATCACAATGTTTGGTTTGATGGAAGCAAATTTCCTAGGAATGTATAGGATATTCTAAATCAATAAAATTTAGCCCAAAGTATTTTATTTCAAGTCGATCCAAAGGAAGGCAGTGTCATTCGTATATATTCAATACACTTTCATCTGCATCCTGAGAATGCAAGTCGTATTTTGTAACGTTGTGGCCTGTGGGTTCAAATAATCTAAAAAACCAGTAAGTATTTTATAAACACTTTGAAAATCATGATACCAAGCTACCTAAGTATCTTGAGCTTCATTAGTAAGGTTTTGGACCTAACTTAAGTTTTGTTGATTTGAATCAATATGTGTATACAATATATATATATATATATATATAGAGCAAAAGTGCACTTTCTGTCATCTAACTTTATACAATGTTCTATTTTGATCATTTAATTTTATAAAATACTTTTTTCAATTATTTAATTCTAGCATGATTAATTTCATTAATAAAAGATGCCAACGTTAACTTTTGAATGTTGACAGAACATTTTTAAATATATGTTGATATGTTAAGCTTAATTTTTCAAAATAATTATGATTGTCGTAAAAAAAATTATTTGATACTAATGGTGTCAAAATTAGAAGACTTGAAAGATATTTGGGAAAATGTAATTTTTAGTTCCTAAACTTTTAGCACATTTTGTTATCAATCTCTATACTTTATTTATTGTTTCAAATCCCTTAAAATTCATTTTTTTGTAATACTAGTCTTTATATTTTATATGACCATGATAACTTTATAGTGGCTAACATGTGTATAAACTCTATTACTTCTTATATTAACTTGTTAAAATTATGATGAGTTGTATAAAAAATTAGTAGAATACAAAAAAAAAAGTTAAAAACCATGACATGGAATCAAAATCTTTAAATGTGTAGTGGATGAAGCTTTATAAGGAAGAAAACACATAGGGTGGACGAGTAAAATATTAGCAGCTATTTTGTTCATATATTTTTTAACTCATCATAATTTTATTATCAACTCGCTAATAAAATTAAATAGAATTATGTACACATTGATTTCCCTAATGATGATAAAGATTAATATTGTAGGTGTTTGAAACTTAAGGATTTGCAACAATGAAATAAAAATATAAAAACTAATATCAAAACATGCTAAAAAATATATAGGGATCAATACTTGTAGTTTTTCAAAATATTTTATATAATTAACGAGTCAAATTGAAATTTTATATAACGTTGAATAATTAAAATTACATTTTAGCTCCAATTTTATCGAGCAACAAATAATTTTGGCAAGGAAGCCCTTCTCGTTTGATTTTCTTTTTTAATGAAACTTTTCGTTAGATTTTAAAAAACACAAATGGCCGTCTTTTCCAAGTGAGAACGTAACTATTGTCCAAATATTAAGTAAGGCCATTTTGATTTTTTTTAAATTTTCATTCTTTTATTATTTTTAATTCATTAAATATCATTTGCGGACTATCCTTTCGTATACATCCATGGTATACTAGTGAAATGATAGAAGACACATTGGGATGTTGATTAAGGTGATTATGGCCCGCCTTTGATTTTTCATAGATAATGGAATTCAAAATTCAACAAAAGTCCTGTTAATATTGTAAAATCAACATTTGAAATCCAATCTATGGTCACATCAAGTTTATTTTTCCGCAATCAATCATAGTTGATTTTACTAGTAGGTGAATTTGGTTTGTTTTTGATTCGATATGGGTGAATTAATTTAGTTGACTTTTACCCTTAATTTGAATTTGAATTCGAATTCGAACTCAAACCATGTGCTTATATTTTGATTTGCTTATTCGGTTTGGGGTTCGGTAAATTATGGACATAAAAAAATTCAGTTAATTAACTTGGGAAACATGTCTCCATAATTGTTTAAGCTAAGTAACTTCACTTCTAAAAGTTTCCAAGTTGGGAATGCTTTAAATGTCTGACTCCACAATATTTTTTCTTTGATAGATCTGACCCCACAGTATTAATTCTTGCTCGTCACATCAAAAAGTTATTTTTTTTCCCAGTCCATTAAGCTTTACCGTTCACTAGCTATTTTTTCCCCCTTCAAATGAGTGTATAATTAAGCTGCTAAAATAAGTTAATCAAGTTATTAGACATTTAATTTACACTCTATCTATTCTAACCCCAAAAGACAAAACCAAAATATTTAACCTATTATATCTTTAAATTAACATTTTTGCCACCATATTTTTAAACTATTTACAATAGTGCATTAGAGAAAGAATGAAAAAATATAATTTATTGTCCGTTTGAATTTTTTTTATCTTTATCTAAATGCATATTATATGTAATTATTTATTTATTTGGATCCTATCCCTTAATATCTTGAAAAACATATAGGGTATGAACTTGAATTGGAAACTCTAGTTAATTTAATTTTCTTAGCCAATTGAACTAAATGTCCCTCAGCATTACACATACATGCTTATTTATTTATTTATTTATTAAATGCACAGAATTTGATTATTTTTAAATATGATTCTTTTGTGCGAAGTATTATAATTTTCATTTTTAAAAAAATGCACAAGTCTAAATTAGCATACGAAATGATACTGTTAAAATGAAATAAAATAAGCAAAATGTATAGTTTAGGGAACCAAACCCCCATTTTAACAGAAGCAAGTAATTAGCCACTAAAAGGCATTTTCAGATATGGTTATAATGCTTTCATTCTCTACCTCTTTCAATTATTTAAGGGCTAAGCATGTCATTAGGTGTGCACGAAATTGCTTGTTGATTGAATTATATAAAATCTCCCATTTGATCTCTTGACAAATTTTCATATTTTTTTTTGGGAGCTCAATAAATATATAAACATGGAAGAGGGTGACTTAAATGATCTAAATCGAGTTAATATGTGTGCAATTATTTTTTATTCTATTCATTTAGTACGGCGCAGTCAGAAAAAATGATAGACACATCACACGTGTAATCAGTGTGCTTTGCAACATCGCTTATCCGATTTATGAATTTACATTATTAGGGATCAGTGATTTATAGGCTTCACACAAAAGGACATTATTGTGGAGACTTTTTTATGAACCATGTTTTAAGACTAGCCTCAGATCAAAAGCTATGGTTTATGAAACTTACAGAGTCAAACCTTTCCTATGCAACTTGACTATTCTTTTTTACTTCTTCCCATTCTCTTTCCTTCAGTTTTTTTTTTAAAAATTTTTTGAATGACTTTTCTGTTTTAATTTTCAAATCTTTACTCCAATCTTATTTATAATGACAAGAAGAATAGAAACATAATATCTACACGTGCCTTTGAAATATTTGGCTTGTGAATAGCGTGCGTTGTGATCTAAGATAATTGACTTCTATAAGTTACGTGTTTCGTTATATTGTAGTATACTATTTTGAATTTTTTTTCCCCAAATTTTTAAGCTAGTGGGTCTCGTTAAATGATGTTGTCTCAAATATATGTTTATGGATATAAAGATCGTTTAATATGCAAAAAATAAAAAATAAAGTATTGTCATAAAAAATATTTCTTATATCATTCAGATAAAATATCCAATTCTAGAACTAAGTTAAGTAATTATTTGTTTCCATTAAATCTATTACTTTAGTATTTTTAATGCGAAACGAAATACATTGTAAGTAAATTTTTGAAAATTTTCCTTTAAAATTTTAAAAAGAAAAATGGTGAGTCATGACTCTTGAGGGAATCTGGTTTTACTATTGGTCTGAGCACTTTCAATGCCCCTTCCATTCGATTATAATTGGGCTTAATTCGTTAGGCCCAATCGGGTTATAGGCATAGGCCCAACACTTATGGTCTTCTTCGAGATCTTATCTGGCGAATCAGTTTTGGACAGTTACCGGGGTCTCCTGCGAGGAAAAGGACAAGAAATGAGTGGAGAACTAGAAGAAAAGCAAAACGAAGTGTCTTAAAAAAAAAAAAAAAAAAAAGAAGCGCTGCAATTCTCGTTCACTACTTCCGCAGCTTGGGCTTCCGGTTTACCATCCAACCGTCATTGCCATTTGGCTATTCGATCTTCCTTGTTAATTTTCGGTTTCTGCTTTGATATCTGAAATTGTTGATCACTGCTTAGATCTCCAATTGCATTTCCATTGTTCCTAGATCGCCATGGCTATCGACATCCCAACCTTGGAAGAAAGGCAAGTCGTTGTCGTGCACTCTTTTGCAAGGATTCTTCGCATTGAAGCTTGTTTCTTACAATGTTAGTTTCAAGTATTAGCCATTAATTTGGGGGAAGTGGACGGTCTTACTGTAACCGGAAAATCTGAATGCTCAAAGACTCTTAATGGCATTCATCAGCCCAATCCACCCCCCAAAAAAAATAATTAATAATTTTTACTTTTAATCCTCTTAATTCCGCTGGAAATTTATAGGAATTATGCTCGCTTCCCAGTGTGTGAGCACTTATTAGGCTCCATGAGAATGGTGTCCAGCATTTAGATTTATGACTGTAGGATTCGTTTCAAGCAGTAGCTAAATCGGCTGCTGCTTCCTCTTCCCATGCATTTTTAACTATTTGCTTTGTCTTGTGAAATCCGAAATTTTTGGGCGACAACAAGTTGATTGTAAATTAAAAGTTGGATGAAGGGAAAGAAGCAGCTTCACAAAAGGGCAATCGTTTGAATGAATTGTTCCTAGTTTCCATAGTGGTTGATAATTTGATCAGGTCTGTAGTTTCTAATTTGATCAGCGTTCTCTTGCTCGTTTGCATATTTTACTCTTGTATTTGTTTTTGGTTCTAGGTATATCGGCTCTTGCAGGAGCCATGGTATTTTGCCTAGCAGTTCTATTTTGTCAAGCTTTTTTAAGGTATGTATTGAATGTCACGTTAAGATATTCTGCAAAGGCACTGAAACCTTGATTTTCAAAACAATTGTTATTCAAATAATTTTTATCTCTGCTTCTCGTCTCTTTCTATTTGATATGTACTTCTTGTCAAGGAACGTTGTTTGTTAGCACTCAAGGTAATTTTTATATTCTACTTGAGATAAGTACTGCAAGGGCCTGTTTGGAAACATGTTCTGAGAACAGTTTTTTGTTCTTTAAAATAAGAGAAAAAAAAATTTATTTGGTAATGTGTTATTAAAAAGTGTTTTGGAAAACAAAAAAAAAATAAAATATTGTTCTGGAGAATAGAAAAATGGAAACAACTTTTAGGTGTTCGGTGATTATTGTTCTGGAGAACAAAGGAGAATGAAAAAAATACCTATTTTTATTATTTTTTGTTCTCAGAACATATTTTACAAAACACTAGTTCTCAAAACAATAAAATAAAAACAGTTTCAAACAGCCCCTTATGTCTTTCTCCTGGTTTCTTCATTCATTGATTATTACCTTCTTTTATTTTTTTATTTTCTATTTAATGTTTTAAATGGGAATAAGAAGCTAAACATGACCATAATTGCACAGGCTGAGATCAAAAAGTCCTGTCAGGAGCTCTGCTGCCTGGAGATTTTCATTGATGACATAAAGGATATCGATTTTCCTCCACTTCTTGATGTGTGCATGAACCTTGATACTTCTGAAATAGAAGCTGTTGATTTACGTAATGAATCAACATCTGAATTAAATGGAGAGTATGCCTTATCATTGATGCGTGCTATCAATCAAAAGCTTCGAGTAGTTGATCTACAAGATTTGTCATTTGGAAAAGATTTCTTGCGGTAAATCGTGGTGCTTGTCTTTTATTATATTAGAGTAGGTGACATAGTCTCTGCTTTGTTTAGTTGTAGATACCTCTATTCTTTTTACATCTCACCTTTTAAGCAAATTTAATACCGTAAAGATCAATATCAGTGCATAAAAGTTCTTTATAGAAACTCTAGCAATTTCAAAACAATGGCATGTGATTGAACATCTGAGACGTTTTTAAATATTGGCTTGGTATGTGACCTATTATGTCCGTGCACTAATTCTTTAAGAAAGCAATCATGTATGAGTTTAACAATTTTTGGGATATTGGAACAAATATAATGGGATCAATTTAGAAATCCCGTGCTTTTGAGCAATGCTTGATAAAAAACTTTTAAGCTTGACCCACACTTGATAAACATTGGATTTAAGTAAACGTTTCATGTTGAAAAAGAATGGACACTGCCATTTCACCTTTATAATTTGTTGGCAATCTGATTTCTTATTCATTTGTTGCAACAAATTCCCTCTACTCTGTATAAGGTCCAGTTTATAAATGAGATGCTTTATCCCCTTGAGTGACATGCACATCAGTAATTTATCAAATGCATGGGTGGTTCATTTCTAGCAAAAGACATTGCCCTTATGGGCACATGCGCACTTTTTGAAGCAACATTTTTGTATCATATATGACATTTTCTGGCTAATATTGGGCTTAACCTTCAGGGATATCTCTCAAAGAGGTTTGGCATGCCAAGTTTTGACACTGAGGTCTTCACATTTCCGGAAGCTGAACTTAGTTGGGGAGTTCCTGAATATGCATACACTTAATCTTGATTTCAGCTCATCATTGACCAGTTTCCAAGAGGACTGCTTTAATTGCATGCCCAATCTAATGTGCCTCTCAATGTGCGAGACACAGATATCCAATCTTTGGACAACTGTTGCTGCCCTCTCTAAGCTTCCTTCTTTGGTTGAACTTAGATTTCAATATTTGTTGCATTGCAATGATGCTATGACCTCGTATACTTCATCCAGTGGGAGGTCAAATGACACTGATGATTTCATTCTGTCAAAGAGAGTTCCATGTATTAGTGAATCCTGCATTGGCACAAGTGAACTGACGGATCATACCTTCGGTGCAGATAATCCACTGAGTAATTTTTATTCATTTGATGATGCTATGAATCATGATGCTTCAAGCATTATCGATGATTCATCAGGTGATACTGAAGTTGACATTTCACGTCACCATCAAAGATACGCGTTGTCAGCTGTCTTTGCTAGGTGGAATGGACAGATGCCTCTTCAGAATGAGGTAGTTAACTTGGCTTCTTTTCCCCCCTGTTCTTGTAGGTGTCCTTTTTAGTGCAGAGTGGTTTCAATTTGCTGTGTTTAAAGTTTTTCCTCCCCCTGATAAAAGGACATATTTTATTAAAACTAAAGTCTACAACCAGCAATACAATTTGTTAGAAAATATTCTTGAAACATTTGAGACAGAAACAAAAACTCAATGAAACATCTTACCAGGGAGAAACAGATCACTAGAACTAATATCATAACTACTAAGAGACTCAGTCTTTAACCTGCAGAAACTTCTTAAAACATATTACAAGATGATTGCATGGCCTGAAGCTAGATTTGTCCTCACATTGCGACATTCTGAAGCGAACATAAAGATTTTGTCTAGTCACATCCAACAAATATATAATCAATCGTTTCAGGAGTCTGGTGTCCTAAAGGACAAATATTTCTTTTTTTCTAAATGATGGCATCTCAGAATATCTCCAACAGGCAAACCATTATATATTCAAAAGCTTCTACATGAAAAAGAGATATTTGAAGCGCAATTCAAGTCTTCATAAAATTCATCCAAACTTGATCATCTTCATGCCCAGCAAGCAATTTGAGCATCCAATGAAAAATGATAAGCACCCTTCAAAAAAAAAAAAAAAAAAAACCACCACCAGAGGGTATTTAAGGACAACTATCAAACTGCATCTTAAGTTATTGTATTTACATGCTGTGTCAATATGGTGGTTTTTTAAGAAGAATCCTATCAAGCACTCTCATTAGAAGAACATATTATGATATCCCCCTCACAATTTGAATTTAGGATTATTGATTAAATTATTTTAATTGATACCCTATTCAGTTGTGAAATTCATTATTATAGTTATAGCTTGGTTTATAAAATAATTATATTAGTCATAACCTATAAGTATTTTGATATTCTCTTCTGCCTAGGTCAATTATTATTGTAAAATTTAGTCAATGGCTCTGAATGCCTTATTTTACATTATGCATGCAATGCATTTTGGAAATTGTTGTTTAAATATTTCCTATTTAATTGCATCAAAATGACTCGTTATTATACAATTACTTTGGTCTAAAGTTTCTATTAGTGAAGCTGTGACTCAAATTCTTTTCAGCTTTAACTTTTGCATTTTGCATTCCAGAATCAAGATGAAGAGGATTTGTTGGAAGGCACCTTTGCAAGGCGTACTGCTGATGTTTCTCAGAAGTATATGCCTTGTCATGCATCGCCAATTTGTTATGAGAAACATTACAGAGAATTTATGATAGCTTCATTACCTAACCTGAAAGTCTTGGATAATTTACCTATAAAAAAGATTGACAAGGAAAAGGCTACAGAAACATTTTCTCAATACTTTGAGTATCTACCATACAGATGGAAGCACAAGGAGAGTATTGTTCGTATCTTACAGAACCGTGAAATAAAATCAAGCCATATAAATGTACAGAGTCTCAAGTCCAGGGCATCATATCGTTCTGGAAAGTCCCAACACTTTTATGCTAGGTCTCTTTCTGCTGCAAAAGTGGGGTCTTCAACTTGGCCTTTCTTGTGTCCACTTTCTCTGTCTGGCTGTCGCTTTGGAGGTGAAGATAGAGTCTTTCGTCCAAGGCAGTTTGAGTACCATCCATCTGACTCCAGCCTGATGGTCTTTGGGACTTTAGATGGTGAAGTAGTTGTCATCAACCATGAGAACGAGCAGATTGTGAGCTATATTCCATCACTTGGAGCAATGAATAGTGTCTTGGGGCTCTGCTGGCTTAAGAAATATCCCTCCAAGGCATGTTTTCGTTGCAAGGAAAGTGATGACATAGAGATTGTAGTTAGCTTGGTTATTGTGTTTTAAGTGCAATGTAGCAGCTGCTTAAGTAATTATGTTCAATCATCTCATTCATGAACCTAGATTGCTACACCCCTTACAAGATTTTGAAGTTTCTTTTGTTAGGACCTCACAATGGCTGAAGTATTTTAGATTGAAGGGAGATTAAAAAATTTTAGATAATAACTGGAGTATGCAAGCACTATGCATCATTATTTTTAAGCTGTCACGATCAGATTGGATTTAATGATTTATTTAAATAAAAAAAGCTAAATTGTTCAGTGTGTTTATTTTCCCTTCATTTGCTTCTCCAGTGATTAAATTTTTAAAATGGTTATATCTGATGCTTTCTTTTTCCTGATTCATATCAGCTTATAGCAGGTTCGGACAACGGTTCCTTGAAATTATATGACATCCATCATGTAGGAAGAAAAAGTACTGGCATATATGGCAGTTCTGGTTGTGTTACTTTTGATGAGTTTGACCAGTTGACGTCTGTTCATGTTAACTCCGCAGATGAGCTATTTCTTGCGAGTGGTTACTCAAGAAATGTTGCTTTATATGACATCAACAATGGAAAGCGCTTGCAAGTATTCACTGATATGCATCAGGGGCATATTAATGTAGTTAAATTTGCAAATCATTCTCCTTCGATTTTTGCCACTTCATCGTTTGATCAGGATGTCAAGAAGTGGGATTTGAGACAAAAACCCACACACCCTTGTTTCACTGCTTCAAGTTCTAGAGGAAATGTTATGGCCTGCTTTTCTCCAGATGACCAATATATTCTTGCATCAGCTGTTGACAATGAGGTAACTCATAATTGACAGTGCGTGGTGTTGCTGGACATTACATACAAAGTGTTATTATTCAGATAAGCCATGCATTGCATGTGAAATCTGAGTTAGATTTGAAATTAGTAGCAAAAGTCTCCAGGAGCTTGGATAACCATATGGAGTTCTTGTCATTCATCTTTCTTTCTTCCCCTTCATTTAATTGCTTTTCTCATGTATTTTTTCTGAAGATTTCTTTAGTTAAATCCTCATAATGATGTCTTATTCCATCATGTATGTGAATGTAATAGTCATTGACTGGAACCCTTTGCACTACCTAGAATTTGAATCATTTTTTCATTGGGCTTGTGCATTTTTCTTTCTTGCATATTAGTTTTGTGTGGTTATTACTTATGCATGTGACTTCTTAGCTTGGTAACGTGTTGATTATGAAGTATTGAGGAAATTATTTTGGTGTCCAGACTAATTTGTAAACCTTTACTTGACAGGTTAGACAACTTCTAGCCGTTGATGGTAGGCTCCACTTGGCTTTTGATATTGCTTCCACGGGAAGCTCTCAGAATTACACCCGTTCTTATTACATGAATGGGAGGGACTACATTATCAGTGGGAGTTGTGATGAACAAGTGATTCGTATATGCTGTACCCAAACAGGAAGGCGTTTGAGAGATATATCCCTCGAGGTATGTCAATCATCTTAATGACAATGCTCTATTGGCTTGGCTAGCTTTGTATATAGCTGTCAAGTGCTCAAAATAGTTCTTCTGTTCCGGTTCCCATATCCTTTGAATGTGAAAAAGTTTGGCTGGGCTTTCAATCTATCAGAAAGAGAGTGCATGTCAGTTGCTTATTCCAAATGTAAACATTTTATCATCACCACGTAACACATCAAATCTGAAGAGTTATATGAATATGAGAACGATATGTCTTTGCAGGGAAGGAGTTCTGGAAGTTCCATGTATGTTCAATCTTTGAGGGGTGATCCTTTCAGGGTAAGTTTCTTTCTGCTTGACCATTCTCTTTGATAAAGGGAAATCGCAGCCCTTGTTAGCATTCTCAAGGGGGAGACTAACAACATGGATTTCTAAATATTAGACTGCTTCCTCACTTTTTTTGGACAGTTTATAGTCATTCTTATTATTTGTTTCCTACCCAAGTGTTTTCTTTCTTTTTAATGTTCTCTTAGCGTACTTCGATGGTTGTTTTCTTTATTGCCTGTGCCAAATTCATGCATTGTACTTGTGCAATGGCTCTTGATGCTTTTTCCTCATACTTATTTGAGGTTGATTTCGTAGACTCTACATTGAAAGTACTGTATCCATGCTGATCTTTATGGTAATGCAAAACCGATTGCATAGTTCTGGTTTGCAGCGGCAGACCCAAGATTGCAAAACAGTGTTCGTGTGAGTTTGCACTAAACAACATTGATTTTGGGGCATCTCAGTCGCCTATGGACGTGAATCTTATTCACATGTCTCTTTTACTTAGCCATTTATAGAGAGTAATGCCACACAACCTGGCAGTTACTATTTTACACCAGTTCACACATTCCTTGAGTTTGAGTTGGCCTGCTCAACTTCTATTGTCAGATTCAGAAATCTATATGTGCATGTGATTGCAAGTTGTTCACATTTCTCGTTAAACATTTATGGAATTTATGAATTTGTTGATTGATAAACTACTTGAAAGAGAATTTGGCAGTGATGGCCTCCCCTTTATTATTTTAGAACTTTTTAAACAAGTTGCAGGGGTTGTACTGCGTATACTTAGAACTGAGTCACTGTTAGTCTAACTGGTTTATGCAACAGTCGCAAATTCTTTGCCATGAAGCTGGAAATAGTTGTTTTACTTTTATAAATATTCTTATAATTATTGTTTTTAACTTCATTGGACAGCATCATTTATTTTCCTGTCATTATATTCAACTGTCCATAATATATGGTATACTGCATTGGAGTTCCAGTATTAAGTTCTCCTTTAATCTTGCAATAATGCTACATGCAGGATTTCAATATGAGCGTGTTAGCAGCCTATATGCGTCCAGCTTCCAAGTCTGAAATTGTTAAGGTAAGTTAATATCAAGCTTAATTTCTTATTTCATTATTTGAGAGCATCCCAATCTCAATGATCCTATTCCGTGGAGTCTCTCAAGCAAGTTTCTTTGAAAGAAATGAGGCACAAGAAAAGCATAGATTAATAAGTGGGAGAAAAAGTGGGACCCATTATTTTTCCATTCAGTTTGTGGAAAGAAAAACTGAAAATGGAGACAATTATTCTTTTTCGTCAGACCATTCCATCCGAATACGAGGAAAGAAAATCCCATTCTCATTTACCTTCAAAAGTTTCCTTCCCACTTTCCCCTGCTTTTCGAGGTCAAATTTTGATTCTCTCTCCCCCTTTGCAGATCAATTTGTTAGCATCAAGTGGCTATACTAAAGATGATTCTGATCAGCAGCACCCCTGTCCATCCCATAGTATGGGAGCTTAACGTATCACATTGCAAATATTACTGGCTCAGGATTTTCAACCTCTGCTTCAGAGAGTTATACTGGTGTGGCTAAACTTGTAACGTAATTCGATGCCCATAAGAAATTCAAATCAAGATCATATGTCTGCTGCATGCATTGTATGCAACGAATGGCTTATTTTTTGCAGCGGAGACGAGTATTTGGCGACAAGAAAGTAGGGTTAAGTTCCTGGATGTTCTGTAGATAAAGAAATTGGTAGGTTGAGAAATAGATGCATCAGGACTAGCTTCTTATATGTTTTGTAGATCAAATTTGGTAAGCAGAGAATTAGGTCCATTAGTTTTTTTTTTTTTTAAAGCCTTTTTAATGGTGCAAGCACCCATCTGTTTGGTGTGCGCACGCACGCGAAGGCAGATTTTGAAATTTTAGATGGGGGGCAACGTGCATATGTGGCAATAAAAATATGATATAAAATGATATTATTGATCTTAACTTAGAATCATTAAGAAGCTTTTGCAAATCAAATTTGAATTTTTTTTATAAAGATCAATTCTATTGATAGTCAACCAAAAAGAATTAAAATACACAAGGTATTAGTATAATCTACTGTGAAAAACTAAAATCAGCAAATAGTTCATTCTTCTTGCCACGCTGAAATATAAAAGGATGTGAAGGCAACAACGAAACAATATTGTTGTGGCAGCCTCGAAAATGCTTTAATAATGAATCATCTCTTTATACAGTTGAACCCGACGGAATGCTGTAGGCATAGTTGAAATTAACAATCCACAAGGTTGATCGGAAGCTTTGGATTGTCAACAAGTTTTATTGACTTTAAACCCAGCAGAATATTTTCCGAAGATGCTTTATTCTTAACCCTTTGGTTTTTGGTTATCAGAAACAATATCATATAAACCTTGAGGCGGTTTCCAATGTTCGCTACATTCCTAAACTGTCTCAGAAGGTGGTTTCCATTATTCCAATGTTGATTCTCTCTTGTGAAAGATTTTTGTTGCTAGATTAAAATTTGTATAATCACAATTTTTTTTTATACCAAGTGAAAAGAATAGGCTCCTTTTTAATATGGTTGCTTTATACACACGTTATATAATCACAATTACTTAATTGATAATGATGACGTCAACAAAGGAGTTATTATAGATGTTACACTTGATCCTGGCAAGTGAAAAACAATGAAGTTGCTCTACACACAATGGACATGCTCGCTAATAAATCATTTTACCGTTGGAGATGAATAGTCAAAATTGTCGTTTAAAAGTGAGTTGTTGCTGTTTTATAATTAGAATATTAGCTATGTCTTGATTTGCTAAGATAATTAAATAGGATAGTGATCATGAATCTTATTTAGTTTATGTATTATGAAAAGATATTGATACATAAAATTTGATATATTCTTTAGATTATTCTAAAAACTCTGCATTTAAGATTCCATATTTGCTAATTTTATTAAATTTGAAAATTGTATATTTTCAAAATAAAAAAAAACAAAGGTCCATAAGTTTAGAATTTCATCAAACTAAGCTTTTTTAAAAAAGAAATCAGAAAGAAGATTCTTTTTTACATGTTTAAACCTTAAAATAAACTTTTAGAAAGAAGAATATACGCCACAGAACATGAAATTAATGTTTAAAAAAAATGCGGCAATTGGAAGACATCAGATATGACATCAGATAGCTTTGAAAACATATAAATTTCAAATTAGAGTTCCAAAATTACTGGCAAGAAATTAAATTCTACAAACTATGAATAGAACTTAGTAAAACTAAACACATACCAAACACGTACAATCTATAACCTCCAAATTAAAACAACTACCAATAACAAATTAAAAGCCTAACAACACAACTAAATTGGCCCGTACATCAAAGATTTGCATCCGATGCACATTTTACAGTTACATTCCAAATCCCTTTTGTTGATCTTCTTCAAAATTTTGGATGAAATTTGCGTCTGCCATACATAAATTCTAAAACCCTTTTTCCATATTGGTCAGCACGCAAATCTCTAAAATGTTGCGAAATTTGGTTCACCAACTTATGGTAGAGATGTCCCTGCAAACCAGAACAGAAAACTTAGTATCCACACATTATATGCATGCAAAGATTACTATAAGAATATAATTTAAGGGATAAAAACCATTTAAGTAAAGAGATTTAGTCGAATCTAACCGCAGAGCATTCTAAAGATTTCTGAGCAACATAATTCCCATAAGAGTCTTGAAGAAGATGCAAAAATCTAGGGCTAGCCATGATCTCATGAACTATAACAGCAACATTCTTATCAGTTGAGAATTGCAACAGATGTTCCACCACATTACTAGCATACTTGTTCATAGACAAGTCAACATATTGGCCTTTGAGTCGATTTACTATATCTTCATTAAGTCTAGACATCTTCAACTTTATTACATATTGCACCACATAATTCCTGTGGATATATAGATAACAACATAGTTAGCTTGCAAATATTTATTTAATTATTTCATGTAAAGAGCCAACTTGTATTTTTAAAAGATATATATAAATGATTTTATAATAATAAAGTTGAATTGAAGAATTAAAGACACACTTACCCATGTTGATGTGGTGCTAGAAATGATACATGATTGCTAATTGCCCAAATCAACAAGAGAGAAGACTCAGGTGTAGCAAAAGATAGACATCTTTGAAGAACAGAGCAACCCTTTATGTCTGTGGCGATATGAGTGCATTCAAATGCCATTACATCTAATATATTCTGAGTACACATGACAAGGGTTATTTAGTTTATTAAAAAAAGTGGTTACTAAATCATAATCAATTTATCTTTACAAGAATCTAACTATAGGTACAGTATTTATTTTAGTTGTGTGTCTGTGTGTTGATAACTACTATATAATAAGAAAATTAAGGGATGAAGAGGTGTATTGATTACCTTTGAAAAAGAAGGGGGACAAGTTTCCATGAAATGCTGAAGGACATAACTACCATGTGGGGAAGTGGCCAATGGGACAACAATTTGCTCCAGAGCATTTGTAAAGTGATCTATATGCCTTTCTGTTGTAAAATGATCTATCATGTTTTGTATAACTCTACTTCTATAACCAAAAAAAAAAAATAGTCAAAAATATATTGAACAAAATCCAAAACAAAAATAAAAAATTATCAAATTGAGTCTTTTTTAAAAAAAATTATATATTTTACAATAAATAAGAATTTTAAATATTCTAATTTCATGTGACATAAATCATAAAATGAAACAGATGTATAGTTTGATAAATAAAAAAATAGCATACCCGATATAGTTTTTACAGACAGTTTCAAACTGGAGCAAATTGTTAGTGATCATGTCAAAAAAGGAAGTCAACTGATCCTCATTGAGTATGTCAAAAAACTTTAGAATCACACGACTCCCAAACTGATCCATCATTAGATCTTGCAAGTGATCAATGACCTCCCTTGAAATGAATTCAATATCTCCAGGGTTCTTCATATCCAACATTCTCACCAAAAATTCACTCCCATCTTCCTCTTTTGACATTGAAACCACCCTTGATTCCGTTGCAGCTTCTAGTGATGTTATGGTGTTATATCTCTGCTGTCTCATCAATAGTCTTCCTGCATCAGAAGAATTATAACCACGGCTTGGTCCAATCCCAGAATTCCCAGCTACGGTTTCCTTGTTTGTATTGTTCCCATGAGGTAGTTCTACATGACAACCAGGCCATGGTCCAATACCAAAGTTTCCAGCTAGGGTTTGATGGTTTGAAATTTTGTCACGAGGTGGCCCTTTATAGGCATGGTTTGATCCAATCCCAAAGTTGCCTACTTGGACTTGCTGGACATGGCTTGGTCCAATCCCAGAGTTTCCAAGTAGGATTTGATTATTTATAATATTATTATTTCCAGACAGTACTTCTTGATTAACAAGACTTTCATGAAGTAGTCCTTTCATTGCAGAATCAATTCTCAGGCTTTGCAATTGAACCTCCAGAGGATGCAAGGATCTGTGCTTGTTATTTTCATCAGATCCCATGTTAAGAGAATTTTGATTTTCTGCAAGCTGACTAGTCAACCGAGAATAATCTATTTTTGACTTAGGGTTTCTGGCGTGGGATTGATCATTCAGGTGCTGGTTTTCTTGATTTGGAAGAAGTTCGACGGTATTAGGCAAATGAGGAGAAAGAGACCCGTTCTGAAGAAATTGATTAGATTCTTCCATGGAACTAGCTGGTATAAGAAAAAATATTAAAAAAATAAAAAGGAAAAAGAAAATTTTATCAGAATAAAGGAAATATTAACTCCATATTTTTAAAAAAGATACTAAATAAATAAAAAAGAAACAAAACAAAACAAAAGAGCTCTATACATATATCCTGTGGAATTTTCTATATAAAAAGGTCAAAAAAATTCGGTTGAAACTTAAAACATTAGGGTTCTGTAGCCATTTTATCAGTAACTAGCATAGTTTGAGAGCATCAGATCGTTATTAAATAAAAAATCAGAATCATGGTGTCTGTTTTGTGAGCAATCTTTTTGTCCTCATAATTTTTAAAATTCTTGTTTGAGAGTTAAAAATTAATGACACAGAAAAAGAAGTGTTGAAATTTGTGTTATCAAGGAGGGTGTCATATGTGAATCAAATAATGGTTCCTAATCAAGTATATGTATGAATTATTAAATAGACAAATATAATAAAAAATTAACAATTGCGTAACACAAACTAAAAGTCATAATCTAAAAATAATAACTCTTGAAAACGAATGGTATAGGTTCTTGAGTTCATAAAATTTTCAAATACTCGACTTAGAGATCTAAGTTATTCGCAGGTACATTGAAACTCTTTTTTTCAATTGAAAAGATATCTCTAAACTGGTTTAAACAATGTTTTCATTCAGTGAAATATATTCTACAGATAATAAAACAAAAAGAAATTAAAGAGAGAAACAAAGAAAGAAGCCAAGAAAAAAATAGTTCTATTAGTAGTAACAGTAGTTTTTTTAAAAAAAGAAAGGTTTAAGAAGTGCCTCATAAATTCAGATGATGATGAATTAAGCTCAAAGACACCAGAATTAGGCTTAGAGTTAAAACCTCCAAGCTAATATTAAAAGAAGACGAAGAAGCTCTCAGATTAAATAAATTTGGATAAATAAGGGCAAATCTTAAGGGATCACATGCGAATCAAACAATGCTTCCTTCCTAATTAAGAAATCAAGTCAAACTGAGTAAATGTTTGAATTATCAAGTGGACAAATATCATCAAAAATTAACAAACAACGCAACACAAACTGAAAGTCATGAACTATGAATTATAAATATTGTAAATGAATGTTAGGTTCTTATTAGGTTTATAAAATTTTCAAATATTCAAATACTTAACTCAGAGATTTAAGTTATGCATAGGTACATTGAAGTTTTGTTTCCCCAGTTGAAACCATCTCTAAACTGGCCTAAACAATATTTTCATTCAATGAAACATATTCTAGGGAAAATCAAATTCAAAGAAAGAAAGAAACAAAGAAAGAGAGAAAGAAAAAGAAATCAAGAAAGAAAGAAGTAGTAAGAAAAAGAAATCAAGAAAGAAAGAAGTAGTAGATTTGCATGTGATAATAATAAGAAGAAGAAGAGAAGACGTACCTAATAAATTTGGTGACGATGAATTAAGCGTGCCTGGAAAGTTAGACTTTGGAGTCAAATTAAAGCCTTCTCTCAATCTGTCTCTTATATAAAGAAGAAGAAAAAGAAGAAGAAGAAGATCTCATATTAAATAAATTTGAATCAATAAAGGTGAATCTTCTTTTTTTATTTTTTTGGCATAAAGAGGTAGACTTGTTACCGCCTATCTATCCGTACAAGTCTTTCCAGACCAATCCCTGTTCGTAACACTATGAGATTCCCAGGAGGTTGAAGCAGTGAATAATAAAAGTGTATAGATCACATTAATATTTTAAATAAATTAATGATATTAATTTAATGAATGTTAAAAAAAAAACTAATTAGTTGGCTGTTTGACCATAACCGATGAATAGTTTGGTGCGATTTAAATTTTTTATTTCAATAAATTTTATTGTTTAAATATTGTTTTTTGTCATGGACAACTATATACTTCTAAAATTTTAACAGTTATCGACTGTTATTATTAATTCATTTATATCGCTTCGTTGAATTTAATATATCTATATATATAAAGATATATGCTTAAAATTGAAGATAATCATGATTTATCTTTTAAAATTTTTCGATAAACGTATTGATTTTAAAAATTATTCAAAATATTCACTGGCATTTTATTGTTTTAATTTTTTTAAAATTTCATTGCTTTTTTTTTATAATTTCGACATGCCATCTTTTTTTGACCAAAATATGTCATCCTTTATTTTTTAACAAAATTACATATAAGTTTCATGAAATAGATTTATTTATAAATAAATCTTGTGAAATTTAAAAATAACAACTAGGTCCTTTAGAATAGACTTATTAGACATATATACATTATATTAGTTAAATAATTTACAATTACTTTATCAATAATTTACAACTATAACTTTAAATTTAACTATTAAATATATAAAATTACAGTTGTAAAATATTAAAGTTATAGTTATAAATGACTGATGAAGTAGTTATAAATAATTAATGTTAAATTTTGTTAATAATGCATGATTATTTAATTATTAAATATGTAAAGTTACAATTATAAAACATTAAAATTATAATTATAAATTGATGATAAAATTATTGTAAATTAATTATTTGATTGATGTATGTTTAAGAAGGATCTTATTATCGTTACATTCTAATTTCAAATTACATTAAGGTCTCAAGGGATCCAGCTGTAATTTTTAAATTTTACAGGATTTATTTGCGAATAAGTTTGCTCCGTGAGATCCATGTATAATTTTGCCCTTATTTCATTTTGTTTTCACTTGTTTTATGAAAATAACGTAAAAACTTGGAAGCGATCACAATTTATACCGTATTTTTATTATTTTTAATATTTAAAATTTTTATACTCTTTATTTAAAATTTTTATACTCTTTAAAACAAAAATAAGTTTACAATTTAATCAAACTGAGGTTCTTTTATGATAAGATTTTTAAACCTTAATACAAAAAATACAAATCATCTCATAATTTCTCAATAACTTATACATTTTGAGAAAAAGTTAAATTAAAATGTAATAAAAACTAATGATTCAATCCTTATACTTTATCCTCACATTCCTATGCTTTTGGTGTTGAGCTCGGGACCTCTAAATTAAATCATCAAGGATTTAACATGAAGATTAAATTTGTTGGTGCATTTCTATGCTTTAAAAACTTACAAAAACAATCTCTATAATTTTCACCATTTGCAGTTGCAGGCATTCATGGCTGCCTCTGTCCGCACTTTGTTGCTCATTTGTCAGTATCCGAACTGAGCTCATTATTCTGGCGCTCATGGATTCTACGTCTGGACCTGTTGCTTTTCCAGGCTCCATTTGGCCCATATAGCTCTATCTGTGATCACAATTGGACTTTTCTCTTTCATCATTGGCCCAACTTGCAAATCCAATCCAGAGGTCTCGCTGGTTCCGCCTCCATAGTCCTTGCCTGTCCGTCTAAACGGCCTAGCAGCGATCATTGAGGTTGGAGGTTGTCCCTTCATGGTAGAGCCTCCGTATCTTCACCTTTTGATCTACGTACTCTTCTTGCATCGGTCGGTTCTGGGCGTTATTTTCCAGTAACGGAGAATCTGGGGAAAACTCTTTGATTCTAAAACACGAGAAGAGTGGCACTAGACTTTATTTTAATGCATTTGATGCGCTGCCTGGCTGGAAACGGAAAGCTTTTCCCTCAGTGGAAGTGCGAGTGCCAGCAGCTGCAAAGTGGAAGTTTAGAAGGTAAGAAGGGTTATTTACATTATCTTGTATGAAAATGCCTATTAATCGTTTGATGCATTTTCACATCGTGAGGAATATAATATAAATGAGAATTTTTTTTCAATGAAGTTGTATCAATTGCGTTAAAATAATACCAGGTTGATAATATATATCTTTGTTTACCAGAAAATAGTTCTTGCTGTTTGTCTCACGTACTTTAAAAATTTGCAGCAAACCTTCCCAGCAAGTAATACTAGATTATGACTATACTTTCACAGCGCCTTATCATGAAAGTGGAACTATTGAGATTGATGAAGATAAGGCATGTGCTCGCTCCTTTTTCTTCGGGCACCTAGCGCTGCTGTTAGAAGAAGTACCGAGAATAGTTGACATTTGTGTTGATGATTTCAAACCTGTTGAGTTATAATGATAGGATGCAAGTGCTACTGAAGAACAATGCAATCTCAAATGGGAAGAATGCGAGGAGAAAATTGATGTAGTTGCATTGGCATCCAAAGAACCTGTACTAGTTTAATGATGAGGTGAGTACTGATTAATTTAAATGACAACTGTGCAGTGTTCACAAACCTGTTCTATGCACAAATTAATCTGTGGACACGGTAATTTCTTTTTTGAAGTGTTTAGGAAATTGATTAAGGGAGCAGGAAGAGATTAGTAAAAATATTTTTATTATTAATTATTTTTAAATTAGATTAAAATAAATATAAGAAATAGTATTGTAACTATGATTAGAAATTAATATTGTAATTTACTTATAGTTCATATAATTTATGTTTCCATTTTAAAGTTATAAGGGCACTCGTGGATTTAAGAAGAAAATATTCTAACTTTCTAGGAAGAATGAATTTGGTTATTGAAGTCTGACATTCATGCCATTCCAGAATCTGTAATTGTAAATGAATTCATTCTTACATTTCTCATCTTCCTTGCCGGCATTTTGAAAGTTGAAACTGCTGGCATTATTTATTTTTACTACAGCCAGGGTCTAGCCTTAATGCCCATGTTTAAAGATCATTTTGAAAGTTGAAACTGCTGGCGTTATATATTATTATTCTTTAGGTGTATAAGATGATGGGTGCTTGTGCTATAGCAATTTCTGGTTGAATGTACTTTATATCAATGGTTTTAATAACACTTGTCAATTTTAATTAATTGGAAAGGTTAAGATTCTTGATTATGCGGCAAGTATTGAAGTTTGTTTGTTTACTTTTTTGGGAAATGAGAAATTAAAACGGATTGATTTCAGATTCTGATTGAATAAGGTGCATATACATGTAATTTGATGTTGAATTTCTCTCTAAAGTGCGCTAACCTCTGATTAATTGGTACAGAAAGGACACCCTATTGATTCTGCTGCCTATAGTGATCCTAGCATAATCAACCTGAAGCTTGCCGTGATCATGCATATGTTGAATTCCATGGCTTCTAATGTCATTGGAGCAGTCCAAATATTGCAAATGAAACAGAGTAAGCTGAGGAAATCGAAGAGAAGGCGAGGAAGAAGCTAGAACTTCTCTCTAGAAGGTTAGAGGTTGGAACTTCTTACTCTTCAGTCAACAATGCAACTAAAGACTAATCGGCATTGTCATTTTATTGCTGTATAGATAGGAAGTTTCATTTTCACAAAACATGTGGCACGTCAAAGAGTTCGATCCCGCTTCGTTCATTTGCAATACGTTAATGAAGATCCTTGATGTCAAAGTCTGCGCTCCTGAATTTCCCAAACATGCTTTCACAGTTCCAACGTGATCTAGTCCAAAAATTTCGATTTCATTTCTCTGCTGTTCGGCTTCTTCACTCCCACTCTTCCAATCTAGAATCCCCAAGCTTTGCAAACATCTTTGCCCTCCTGCAGGGCCCCATTTCACGATTTCATCTTCTTCAAGTTCATGCTCGCATTTATCAACTAGGAGCCCATCAAAACGATTGGATCGCCACGCGTCTTATTGGTTGTTATGCATCTCGTGTATCTCTCCAGATTTTCCATCAACTGCAGAATCCTAACATCTTCCCTTTCAATGCCACTATTAGAGTCCTTGCTGATGAGGGTCAATTTTCGCACACATTCTCAGTGTTCAAGAATCTGAAACAACGATCTCTTTCACCTAATGATTTAACCTTTTCATTCCTCCTCAAGGCATGTATTTCGTCCAAAGATGGCCGTGTTGTTGAACAAGTTCATTCTCAAATTCAGAAGATGGGTTTCCTTAATAATTCATTCGTTGGCAATGGGTTGGTCTCAGTCTACGCCAAAGGGCTTTATGATTTGAGATCTGCACTGAAAGTGTTTGATGAAATTCCTGACAGAACCGTGGTTAGCTGTTGGACTTCGTTGATCAAAGGTTATGCCCAGTCGGGTAAGAGTGAAGAAGTTTTGAATCTTTTCCAGGTGATGATTCAGCAAAATATACATCCAGAAAATGATACTATGGTCAGTGTTTTATCAGCATGTTCTAACCTCGAGATACCAAGTATTCAGAAATGGGTTGCTATTCTTTTGGAACTTGTTGATAACGCTGACCCTGAAGAAATTTTCAGTGACTCCATTAATACAATTCTCATATATTTGCATGGTAAGTGGGGAATGATTGAGACAAGCAGAGAAAGATTTGACCAGACTTCTTCTATAGGTAAAAGAAGTGTGCTTCCTTGGAATGCTATGATGAATGCGTATGTTCAGAACGGTTTGCCTTTGGAGGGTTTAACTCTTTTCCGCATGATGGTGGAAGATCAAATAACTGAACCCAACCATGTCACCATGGTTAGCGTGCTTTCAGCCTGTGCTCAGATTGGTGATTTGGATCTTGGTGTGTGGGTTCATGAGTACATGATGTCTAAAGGACGAAAGGGTATCATTGGAACAAACCGAATTCTTGCTACAGCATTACTTGATATGTATTCTAAATGTGGGAGTTTAGATAGGGCGAAGGAAGTTTTTGAGCATGCAGAATCCAAAGACGTTGTCTTGTTCAATGCTATGATCATGGGGCTTGCAGTGAATAGTGAAGGAGAGAATGCATTGAGGCTCTTCCACAAAATGCCTGAATTTGGCATAAAACCTAATGCTGGAACATTTCTGGGGGTCTTGTGTGCATGCAGCCACTCTGGATTGTTGGAGAGAGGACGTCAAATATTCAGGGACATGAAGATGACATTTAAGATTTCCCCTAACTCAGAACATTATGCTTCTTATATTGATCTCCTTGCAAGAGGGAACATGCTAGAAGAAGCTTTGGAAGTTGTGACGTCCATGCCTTTCAAGCCTAACAATTTTGTTTGGGGTGCACTGCTTGGAGGTTGCTTGCTCCATTCCAGAGCTGAATTGGCCCAAGAGGTTTCTATGAAGCTTGTTGAAGCTGACCCAAGTAATTCTGCTGGCTATGTAATGCTGGCTAATGCATTTGCCTCTAATCACCATTGGGGTGATGTATCCGCACTAAGGATGGAAATGAGAGAGAAAGAGATAAAGAAGCAACCAGGATATAGTTGGATTAGCTTGGATGGAGTTGTTCATGAGTTTCTTGTTGGTTGTTTGTCACATCCTCAAATTGAGGGCATATATAATACACTGGCTATCTTGGTGAAGCATCTGAAAGTACCAAACCTGTCTGTCAGTAGAAATGCTTTGATTAGTGATTACTAGTAGATGGCATCTGAGAAATGTTTTCTCTGACTTTTCTTTCTCCTTTTTTGGGGTTATAGATGCAGCACAAAATCTTGAAAATAGATAGTTTTAAGAAAAGGAGGAGTGGGTTTAAAATTGAACATTGGTATCACACTCTCCTCGGTCTTTAAGATTGAGGCTATCATCATCTGAGATGTTCATCTTTGCCAAAGCTCGCAGATTATCAGGTGAGTAGCTATTGTTTTAATGGTTTTCCTTTGCGGACAGACAATCTCACAAGTATGAATCTAGTAGCTGGCCAAAATTTTTCCAATTGACATGGATGGATCATGCGTTACATAATCCCGAGTTATTTACTAAACATGTTGCTATTTTAGGAAGTCTCGGAAAATCAATTGAATCTGCAAGGGGCCGTCTGTGGCGTGGACATATAAGTTAAAATTTTCTTGCGAGACAATGGTTGAAGCATTTGTTTTAATAAAGACCAGAGAGTCAGCTTACTCATCTAAAACTATTAACCCAGCTCAATTTTTGACTAGGGCTGATTGATTTTTAAGAACTCGAGTTCATGAAGCACGCCCTGCTCTACCAGAAGTCAGTTTTTCCAATTTTCTAATTCGACATTCTTGCAGCTACGGTGTTAAGAACGCATCGCCATAAATATTCTGTTGTTTTGACATCCCACACGAGGAATTCAACCCGAACTAATCTCTTCACAAAACTAGATCTTGAACTGGTTTGTCGCGTGTCGCACAATTCCCAGTAACGGTACAACTTTATCTAGGCTTCATCAATACAAGTAGAAATAACACGAACAGTAGCTCTAATTCTTCAGGTTAAGTATATTCCAACCAACATTAAGTGTACAGAACAAGAAGGACCAAATGGAAAGTCGAAAATAATCAACTGGCGTATCTTTACAGATGTAACTATTAAAATAATTCCAGAAAGTTTTTAGCACAACTAAAATTAAAAGTATTCAAACAACTAGAAATTTATTCATAATTTTTATCAACTCTTTATTACTGGATCAAGATAACAAATGACAGCATTTTAAGGCATCACATCTACACCTTGCACCTCGGTCTGCCACAGTCTCAGCAATTCCAAAATCCATGATGTATTCACCTGGCGACAATAATTCCACTTCGTTCTTCCAAAGGTCCAGCAACAAGAGGAGATGCATGGAGTGGCAATTTAGCAGAAAATTAGAAGACAGGATTGCTCTGGCTCCAAGCAGGAATAACATGGCACTTGCGTCCGTGCTCTAATCTCTTGATGTTCAAAAGATGGATCGCAGAAAACCTCAACATTGCTATATACAATACATAAGGCACCGCCAAAACGAGATCAGGATTCAAGCAATTTACTCACTTCCCGGTGAATCATTCTAAGCTGTCACCGCTCAGGGATAGCAGTTCCATCAACTCCATCCTGTACTCGAGACCTCTAAGATAGTGTCCCAACAGCATGCACCTTCAAGGAGGAGGAGAAACCAAAAGTCAGTTTTGTTAAGAATATTAGCATCAGCAGGCACAGCACTGGATGCCAGATAACCAATCATCTCAAGCTACATCGCAAGTTATTATTCTGACATTATAGTGAGCTTTTAGAATATGGCATCCCCCTTACCCCCCCCCCCCAACCCAAAAAAAAAAACACTTCCATTGCTATTTAACCCTTTATCTTCACCCCACCCACTCCCCACTCTCAAAAAATATGCAAAAAAGTTTAGTTTCTGATATGGTTGGGACATGTGTCAAGTGTCCTGAGGTAGAGATAAAAACAAATAGAGTAACAATTCTTCCAGAGCCAACACCGCTTCTCTTGTACTTGTCCTGGTATGGTAAATAAAAATATAGATATCCTGATAAAATAAGGTACAAAGGTAAAATATGTAACTGACCAAAAGAGCAGACGGGCCAGATAATCCCGAGTTAATGAAATAACAGGCTGAAATTGTAGTGAGGCATTCTCAATAAATTCTGTAGAATCCCCAATCCCACCATTTACTGTTCCAGAAGTTGTATTCTCAGACACTGTTGAAGCTTTTGAATGCATCTTCGGTGAAAGAGTAGCAAGAAGACCATGGACAACAGAATGGATGGTGTTCTTAAGTTCAGAGGATGTAGATTCTGATAGCTCAGCTACCTACTTAGGAACAAATAGTATGAGTCACACTCACCGAAAAAAGAAAAAGAAAGAAATGAAGTGAAAACCTACTCACAAAAAGAAAAGAAAAAAACGAGGGAAAACCTAGTTGAACAGGTGAGCACAAGTTTATAATGCTATACTTCATAAGAAACATGGTAGAGAGGACAACAAAAAATATTGAATTTGGTTACATATACATCCTAGGGTTTTTCACCATAGAGAAGGAACGGAAGATAACTTTAAGAGGAGAATAACGTGGAAAATCATGTGAACTTAAATTATTGAAGTTAAAAAAGAAATTATCAGGGGAAAAAGCATAAAAACTAGACACCTAAAGGGTAAGCAAGAGATGTGTCAGACCAGAGAGCAAGGGAATTACTTTTACCAGATAGCAGATTATCCTTTTTTATGCTCATTCGTAATCAATATGCCAACACAAGAACATGACAGCTAAGCACGATTCTCAGTACTCAATATCCAAATCTTTCAGAGGAATAAATGAACATGACACGCTAGGATGACAAGCCAGGGCCAGGAAAATCACATAACGATAAACTATAGGAAGACACCGTAACAAATAAATGTAATGCAACATAAACAAGAAAAACTAAGGCCTGAGATAAATGCCAATTATAATTTTTCAGAAGAAGACAAACCTGTTCAGGTTGAAGAGATCTCAAGTAATCCAGTAAATCATTTTTTTCTTCCCCAACAAACTGTTGCATCTGAAGAGCAGCACTCTTCCTCTTCACTTCATTAAGTTCCTATGAAAAAATTCCAATAAAACAGAACAAGAAGACAATTAAAAAACCATACTGGATGGCCTATTTGCATAACAGGGAACAGAATTGCAGATTGATCATAGTAAAGTAGACAAACTCGAACATGTCCAAAATTAACAGATGAGATCTCACATCATGATATTTGACCATCAAGCATCTAACAAGTCCAATATAAAGCATATTACATTGACCACATAATTCCCTTCCCCAAGAAATCTCACACTAAACTCTTTGCTCCTACATCCTTGATTTCTGGTGGCATACCTTTTTTATGGAAGACAAACGAGATTGCAAATTATAAATATACTGTTGAACTTCAGTGGACATTTCACCAAGGTTTTGAAAATTAACATCCCCAATTGTCTCTTCATCCAACTTGTCAACTTCAGGAGACAAATCATTCCTTCTGCATAAGTCAATTACATCTAATCTGTCAAAATTTAATCCTTGTGCATCAAGCTCAGTACTTTCTGCCTTCAGGTTTTCTAGATCACTTTCATGCATATCGAGGTTCTTCTCGAGGCAAAATCTGTATTCAGCATTCCGCAATGTATACCTGTATTAAGAAGGAAATTTTTCCATAACGCTTCAAAACATTAGGATTCATTGATAACACATTAGCAATTGCAAAGGTATATGCATGTGAAAAAACAAAAATAATAAAAAAATAAAGGTTGGTCCTAGTTATATTACTCTGATCTATATAAGGATTGTGCGCTGATATGGGAAAATAAGCAGTTGAGCAGAGAAATTGAATACAGGATTCAAGAAACTATAATTTAGATAAAAAGCAAACATCATTCCCACATAATTCAGAAATTGGACCCAGACATTGAACTTACCCAGTAATTATCGAAGAAATTAATAATTTGGAGAGGGGTTCCCACAAGGCTTCAATAACAACTTGAAATTGATCAGACGGAAGCAAACCCAACATACTAGATATGGTCCTTTTCATGGCATCTACTGTAGTTGGAGATACATCTTTCTGGATATGGCTTATATCCAGAGGTTCTATGTCTTGTATCAACTCCAAGAGAACTGATTTCTGAAATAATAACACTCTAGCGTCAAAGTCACCATCTTGTTGGCAACTATCACGGAACAAACATATGCAATGACGTGTTTTTCATCATAGAATATTCATCTGTAAGATGCACACATTGAATGAAATAAGAAGAAAACAATCATCTATCTCAAATGTGAAACACGACCGATACAACATCTAGCCAACAATTATCAATGCCATGCAAGGAATATTTCAAAAAAGATTGCTCTGCGGTCAGAGTAACACAATAGGATGGACCCATCGATAATCATACTTTCTTCCAAAACATGGTCTTTTAGTATATGATAGAGCTCATGCCAGCATACCATAAGTGACAAAATTATCATCTATACCATGTTATCAGCTCTAACGTAGCATACCATTCCATTCAAATCTTGCTAAATGGATCACTTAACTAACAACACCTAACTTGTAAGAGCAAAACTTAAAAATGCTATTGTAACTAAGCATAATATGATAATGTTCTTTTAGGTTAAAAGAAAACTTGATTAAGTCATCCATTTGGATAGATCTGAATTGAATGATATACCATGCCAGCTCCAAGTGACTTCCCACCATAATAAGAATCAGCATACAAAAAAAAAAGTATATTACTCAATATCCAAAATTTCCAATTCATTTCATGCTCATGAGAAGGGAAAAGGATCCAATCAAGGGTACCAAAAAGAATTCAAAATTAGGAATTGCAACATGGAGCTCCAGGAGAGAAAACTGAGAAAGAAACGAGTTGAAGAAGTCAATTTAAATTATAGATCATACGAACAATTCAGTAGAAAGAACTGACCTTAAGAGAATTGGGCCTCAGCCTTTTGGAGCTGGAATCGTCGAAAGATTTGGGTGAAGAAGCAACAACCAGAAAAGGGGTCCGAAATTTTCTAGGGTTCAAGTTAGAGCGCAAAGGAGTACAGACGAGCAGAGAGGTGGGAAAGCCGGCATGTGAGGGGATATGAGGAAGACGAGGAAGAGAAGGCAAGAGGAAGGAGGCAAGGGTTGCCATGAAACACCACCAGCACCACCACCACCACCACCAAGGCACCAACCTTGGTCTCGCTCCCTCTATCTTCCTGCGACAAAGCTCATCGCGCTTCACGAAGGCAAAAGATCAACAAGCAAAAACGACAAACAGGCAAATGACTGGATGATGTCGTTTGAGCAATGTATTTAATAAATCAAATTGATTTTACGCTTTCAATCATTTCCGCTGACCCAACTTGGTCCTCACACTTTGAAGGTTCTTTCTGGTAAAGAAAAAAAAAAAACAATCTATGCTTGTTCAAATACCTTGATAATCCTATATTATAATTTGTAGGGGATTGAAAAAATATCACTTAAATATTAACAAAGTAAATCAAGATTAAAAAATAATAAATTTAATTGACAAAACATTTAAAACATACATCAAATGCAATATCAAAAGTGATTGTTGTTGAGATAAGCATGAAAAGCACTTGATATTTTTTTTTTATTTTGTATCTTTTTACCTCTTTGTTTTTAAAAAATAATAGAGTTTAAAATGGTCAACACTTTTATTTTTAAATTCATAGAGGCTAATTTTTTTAGGTTACAAATTTGTTTTCACCCTTTTATACTAAGCAACCTAACCTTAATTATTTTTGAGTTGAAACGAGAAGGCTTAATTGAGTTGGCTAATTTTACTGATTTTATTTATAGATCACCGATCAAAAAGGTTCATATTAAACATGAGATTTGATCTCATAAACTTTTAAGTTATATGTCAAATGTCAAATCATCGGACCAACAAACATTAAAGTTGAGTCACATAAACTTTACGGACGAGGGCGATAACATTGGCAAGTCAAATAGATGAATCCAGAAACACAATTCAGATTTGTCCGCAGCCAGTGGAGTTGGGCCTGTCCTACCATCACCTGGGCTCGCCCAAGGACAACCATAAAACTTTTATAAAAATGGCTGGCCCATAAAAAGCCTTATCAAAATGCCACGTAATTAATTATTTGTTTAAAAAAAATAGCAACAAACCTAACGAAAATAATTTTAAAAAAGCAGTGACCAAAATAAATTTTTTTAAATTCGCATGCATCAAGATAAGAATTTGTATTATTCATAAGCTATAAATATTCCAGATCAACACTCAATCACTCATTCTCAGACTTCATATAAAGTGCATGGGAAAAAAAATATATACATAGTTGAAATTAAAAAATCAAGTCTAAGTCCTGATACAGAAACATAAAAACCCTAAAAATCTTGTTTCCTCCAAATATCCACACAGGACACAGCCACACATATATACTGTACAAAGGTCCAAAACTGGGTGGTGAAGCATGTTTAGCAGAGGTGGTGGTCACGTTGGTTTTGGTACAGACCCTACAAATTGAAGCGTGTGCATGCACTGTGTCTTGTAGCTATTCTTGTAACATTCACACACACACAGAACATATATATATATATATATATATATATAGTAGCATTGAGCCTTATCACCTTGTGCAGGCACACCAGATGCGTTCATTGAACATGAAAACTTGACCGACAATGGCCAACTTTAATGCTATTAAAAGCAGACAAATGTTTCCAACCAGAATGAGTGGTTTTTGCTTTTGTCTCTGTTGTACGTAAGAACAAGGAAGCAATGAGGATAATATTAATTATGCTATGCTTGCTCGTGTTGCTGTGCGTCCTGGGCAAGAAAAATTAAAGTGAAGACATCAGTTCAGTCGCCCTAACTGATGCTTCTGCGAATATTGCTTCAGTGGTTAAATTCGTGGCTCATATTTTGTCTTTCCATAATATATAATAAAGCCAGACGAACCATTTGTCACAGAAAAGATTGGATAAGAAAAGCTGCAGATTTGTCACATGGCTTGTTTTCAGAGACTTATCTCAAATATGCTTTTTTCTTTATCTATATAGGATAATAGCCATTACCGGCGACCTTTCTACTTCTGCCTTATAAAAGTAGTGAAATGATATATCTGCGCCAACAAAGATTATTGGGAATTAGGATTGAGTTTTATCATGTCAAGGGATCTTTTCTTTTTTCTTTTCACTGACAAGAATATTAGATAATTACCACTATAAAGGATAAACCCTAGGTAGCTACACTGCACGGTCATTATCAAGTAGTTCACAGTAACATCACTGCGTCAAGCTAAGGACAAAAGGGCACGTAATTGGGATAGTATGATACAACCTCTGAAGACAGAGACAAAAAAAAAAAATTTAATCATGAACATGATAACCCACAAACATTAATAAGGCGATGATCTGGTCGGCTTAATCAGGATAAAACCCTGGGAAGCCCACGAGGAGATTGGGTTAGGAAGCAAGAACATGTTAGGGTTGGACCAGGGAGGGTGCACTTTTAGGACCACGGAGAAGAAAGACAGGGTTCACCTTTGGTCCATAATTACATTATTTATATATTTATAGTTCTGAAGGGTTTGGACCGCAGGTCTCTCTTCACATTAAAAGAGCTTTAAAAGCTTAGCCTTGGTCATCAATGGCTGGCAATACTGCTAATACTGTGTTCATATGTATGTGTGTGAGCATGTATAACGCTGGAACAGCTGCAAGCTGCGTCTCGGCTATAATTTCAGTGGGCTTTAATAATTTAAAGGAGAAGGGACGTTTCAATTTTCATCAACCTTTGTCGGGTTCGTTTATAATATTTGAACCATTAAAAATCAATTCTATATTGCAATTGTAATTTACAATGTATTGGCGAGGTCAACTTATATCAGTGCGAGAACGCGCGCGCGCGCGCACACGATCAAGAAATTTCTAGAGGATTATATATATTGGTTAGATTAAGCCCAGTCTTTTCAAAAGGTGACTGAATTTGATGATGATTCATTTTATCCCTAAGACACAGAATTTGATATCTATATCTACGCTAATTAAGCATTCACACTAACACACACAATGTGTGTCGCGCTCGTCATAAATATTCGACCCAATCTTTAAAATAATACAATAATTGTCCTTTGGTATATCAAACAATAATTTTATAAAAAAGATTCACCGCCATGCAAAAGCACTCAACCATTATGGAAATTCCTGTTCTTTTTTCAGACTGCTCCAGATGTAAAGATAAGAACAGTGATGCTGTCGAGGAAGTAATTATCAAGATGAAAGGAGCGCTTAGCTTCTTCTTCTTCTTCTTCTTTTTTCCCGTTTCTCAAAATATCTCCATGCCAATTGTAAAATATAAATCTTCATATATAATTATTTTTTTAAAAAAATGGGAATCAGAAAAATGAGAGTCGGGGGATGTGGATGAATGTAATCCAATAAGAAGAATTTGTGGAAACCATGAATTTCGCACCCACAATTAATCATAACCCGATTTAACTAGCTATACGGTCGGAGACGACATAATCCTTAATTCATTATATATATTGTCTGGCGGTTTCTCCAGAACAATCTTCATTAATTAACATAATATCTCCAGAAAGAGAGTCTTCTTCACACATCTCTATCCTTCCTTCTTGTCTGATACAACCCGAACTTGTCTCATGGTGACCAAATTTTCTTAAAATCTGTTCATAATTTTTCTAAAATTTTATGATAGGTAAACCTTAAATTCTGACAACAACATTCTATCACGATATTAAAAGCTAAATATAAGTTTAACCCTTCATTTGAATGTGAGGAAAAATCGGGAGAAAGGAAAATAGTAAGACAATTTACTTTTTTAAAAAAAAAAATTCTCATCGTTTTTTCACCTTTTTTTTTCCTCACTTTTTTTCCCATTGAGACCAAACATTAAAGTCTTTTAATGTGATTTTCGAACAATTTTTTCTCCGTTGATGTATGTTTTTTTCCATTTAAGTTAATTATGAACTTTTATTTGTGTGGTCTAAAGCAAATCAATTCTTTCAAGCAAAAAGGTGAGGACATTTCTAGAGGCACCTAATTTATTTGAGAAGTTTAAGATTACCCACTTGACAAAAAAAAATATCTTTGGTTTCTGGCGGCCAATATCTAGGTAGGGGTTAATTAACCTAACATAAACAAATGTTTAAATTTAAAGCCACTATTTAGCTCCGGGTGAAAAGTGAAATGTCTTGTGAAACATGTTTTTGCAAGAGAGGTCCACTTTCCAAATTACTTTTTCTAAGTGGGTCAATGTTGTTCGAGAGAGAAAGCACATAAGACCCAAAATAGTATTAACGATGAAGTTAATAAAAGGAAACTTAGTAGTACCTTCCTGATCATATGTGTGTGTGTGTTTATTGATTAATTATGGATTTTAGTTTCAACTACGTAAATGATAGTGTCTTGAATAACAACAACAACAACAATGGCTTTCTTTTCTTACTATATTTTAGTAACATTAACCTGGCACTTGTAGGTATTCATTTTGTCGTCGATTTTTGTCGACTGGATTCCAAGTTTTAAACCTAAATGGGGAGCATGAAAATGAAGTTAATATAAAAAATTGTAAATACCAAGAATTCAAAAGCTAATCGTGTTATTGACGACGCTGGCAAAATTGACTAAGGTAAAAGTCACTAAAGGAGGACCTATTTGAAAACGCACTTCAATTAAAAAAAAAAAAAATCTAAGGACGCGTTCTGAATGGTGAATTTTTAGGCATACCTGAAAGATACGAGTTAACCTAATTACGAATATATGAAAAAAAATATTTTTATTTTTGATATATATATGAAATTTGTTAATAACACTGAAAGTTAAAATAAGCTAATGTAATGAAATTTGCTATTTATTTTTTAAAAAATATCTTTTATTGAAAAAGTTTGATGCCTTTTTAGGCTCTTTTTTTTTATTATATTGTTTATTGTTTCCTACATTTAATACGGATCTAAGAGAGTTAGGTGAAATAATTCAATTTAAAAAAAAATGAGAAAGTGCTGTTCTTTTTTTTTTTTTTTTTGGCCCCGTAGAAAGTGCTATTCAACTATTTTGGAAGAGCAAGGGTCCACCTTGTAACATCACTTTTTAAGGCGAATCAACATTGTGAGAAAGGTAAAGCATATAAGTCTCATCAAAATATTAAAAGATGAGGTTTTGCAAAAGGATAAACAAAATAATAAGGATAAAGCAAGGAATATTATATATTTATGATTAATTAATTAACCCATTATCTGTGCAGAATGCTCTATTTTCTGCTTTTTAATTACCAGGTTAATTACCACATGCAACACAGAGTTGTTATACCTTCATAATGTCCTCAACTTGGGTTGATTAAGTTCCAAGTTTTCAACTTCATGGGGGGCATGAAAATGAATTTTACTTTAAAATATTGGAATTAATTAAGATATAATCCAACAAGTTTTTAAGCTTTGAATTGTGCACATAAATTCAAAAAATATATTGATATTTGATACCCATGTATCGTCTCTTTTTGTTAATTATCATTTCTGTTTTAAATTTTAGCCCATACATTAAAAGAAATTATTAGTATGTTAGACTTCTTTTTAAATTTTCTAATATGCCCTTAATTTATTTTAGTATAATTGATATTATCTTTGGTTTTCTAAATTAATGAAGACAAGAGAGAATAATTGAAAAAAAAAACTGTAATTAATGTTGTTTTGAAATTCCGAAATGACAATTAAAAAAAACTTAAAGTTACAGTTAAAAAGAAACAGGTAGACTAATATGATCTAATCAACATCATTTTAAACAAAAATACTTCGTGCTTGGTTTATAAAAATAAGTGATTATATATATGAAACATGTGCAACTTTTTTGGCATAAAGCATTTACTTCGTAAGATTCATATGTTTAGGAATTGGTTAGAATAACGGAGAAAGGTTTTTTAAATGTAAAAAAAGGGAAATTAAAGTAAGTTCCTATTATCATGTAAATTAAACAGTAAAGATCACTTATATGTTACTCTTGGCTGTTGAAAATGTAAAAATATATTTTGAATTATGAAAAATTATTTTTTGATTATATTTTGTTATGCATATTAAACGATGGATTCATCAATATTATATTGATAGAAAAGAGAGAGCATAAAATCCTTATTATGGAGTGTTTGTTTAGTGAAATGAAAAAAGTGAGCGATGGCCAATTTAGGAACTGAGGTGCAGTTTCTTTTATATATATATATATATACACACTCTCTTCATTTAAAAATATAAAGTATTTTTTAAAAAATTAAATGTTAAAAAATGTAAATCATTTTTAATATTTTGAGGTGTAATCATTATTTTTTTTCAAAAGTATACTATTAATGGTAACTTTATATTTATTATAGAGTGTTTAATAAGGATAAATATAAAAAGATAAAATTAATTAAAAAGTAAGTAACTACTTTATTAGTGGTGAAATTTAATTAAAAATGTCTTAAATTTTTAAACGAATGAAGTATATATTAGTAATTTATCATAGATCACACTATTTTAATTATGTGAATTAAATTATGTTGTTTCATATTTTATAAATGCATTAGTTCATCATAGGGCAGACAGGGATACTACTTTGTTTCAAATATGTAAATTATATTGTCTACGTAAGTGATTTAATTTCTTCGGCTTGTAGCAATATTTCCATAACATAAAGTTGCACACATTATTACCTTCTCAGCTTATTTTATTGAATTCCAAGTTTCAACCCTAGTGGGGGGCATCAAAATTAGTTTGAGTGAAATATGGGAATAATCAAGTCCGAGATAATTGTTTCATTGACTATCAAGATAAATTGAAGTTACTGGAGATAAATTACCCCAATTTAGATTTATTTATTTATATAGACCGTAAATAAAAAGGTAAGAATAATTATATCTAAAGACCACTCAAAAAAATTATTTATAAATAACAACTAATAACAAGTCCTATTTGAGAAAAAATAAATTACATTTACATTTTAACAACAATTTATTTCATATTAATTTTTGTACTGTAAAAAAATTTCCTTAAGCGATCCTTAAACATGATCCTCTCATAAAAGAAAGTAACATTAACATAAAATTAAAAATAAATGATATAATATATAGTCCTTTTAGTGTCAAATAACCCATATTACTGGTAAGCCACGTTGCCTTCAACTCATTTGGATTGAGTAGGGTAGAACGACAAAGACAACAAAGTTAATATTACTAGCTAAGTCAGAAGGAATATCTATTGTTTTTTAAATTAAACTAAAAACTTCTTTTTTGGCCAAAAAAATATAAATTTGTTGATAATAAATAACCACTATATAGTACCATGAAAAGTCAGGAATAAGGATCAAGCTTGGAGGGCCACCCATTTAAATTCATTTTTATAAGGGTTCAAGCTTAAAAAAAATGACATTTTTAAGAAAATCGGGCGTTCAAGCACGGCCCTGATAGGCCATGAAAAAATTGGCTCAGGCTCGGGCAACTCTTTTAAGCCCATTTTTATTTTTTTCTTAAAAAATAAAATATTTTTAGTTTTTAAATTAAATTTAAACTTTAGAATATATATTTATACTTTACAATTAGATTTTTTATTATTTATTTTTAATTTTTAAACATTATAATTTATATTTTAAAAAATATATGAAATATTATAATTAAAAAATTTTAAAAATAAAAAATAATAATAAGGGCTTATGGATCTGATCCTGAACTCTTTATATAAGAGTCAGGTTTTAAAAAAATGAGATATTTTAAAAAAATTGAGCTTAAGGCCTGAGCTCTTAAGGGCCAGGCTCATATGAGTCGAGCTCATTCATTTTCTAACTCTAACATGAGTGTATACAAATATCTAGTATGTTAAAACTATGAAATATAGTAAATATAAATGTTTTGATATTTTAAAAGTGTATATGCATATATATATATATATATATATATTATTTTTATTTTCCTTAAAAAGTAAACACTTGAAAGGACCAAACATGACACCACCTCATGTCTTTATTATATGGCTCTTCTATGTGATCCTTGGCATATAAAATCTCACACAATGTTTTCAGAACTGTAATGGACATTAAATTGAAAATGTCAACGATTCTCAGTTCGTATAGTTCAGTCGGGTTAGATCAATGGTCTAATTGATGATATAATAATTAAATTAAAAAAATTATATATGTATATAATAATTTAAATATAAAAAATAAATATGAAATTTCTATTTAACTTAAAAATAAAACTAAATATTTTAAATTTATCATAACTTAACAAGCTACATAATATAACATAATATCAAATGATTAAAAAAATTGATCATTTCTGAAAAAACTTGATAAAAAATTTAAAAAAATTGAACATTCTAATTTTTGAAAAATGGGGTCCAATTCCCGGCTTAATCCCTATTACAGGTCTAACCACCTATTCAAAACAGCCCAACTTGATTCAACTTTGAAAATGTTTTTATATATTGACCAAGCCAAAATTCAAATCAATACAATCTGATTTTTTTTAATCATTGATATTCCATTAATACAATAAAGTCTATATGGTGGGGCTTTTACATTTATTATAAAATTGGTGTAGAAAGCTTTAGACTTTAGCAACATTGAAACATTTTATATCGATTTCAGAATACTGATGTAAAAGGTCCTTTTTAACTATATTAAAAAGCGTTTTTGTACTATATAACTTGTTTATACCATTGATTTTAATTTCTATCCCTAAGTGTGATTTACTTTGATATCCCTTGACTAATTGAACAACCTAATAACTAGCTAAACACAACATCCTCTAATTGATAAATTTTATTAAAAATTTTAAGATTTTAAAAGCATTAGTTGATTTTAACTAATTTTCTTAATTCACATAACATAAATTGCTACGACAGGATCAAAAGTAGGGAAGAAAAAATTTTACAAGGCTATCTCAATGTATATATTTTTCATGAATCGGTCATAGCCATTTCAATGTATAAATTGCCGGTCAAAAAAAGATCACGGTCATTTCAAAGAACAAACTAGGAATGATGTTTGTTTTGTAGTCATAGTAATCAATATATATATATATATATATATATATATAAAGGTAAAGCTTTCGAGGAATTGAAGTTGGATAACAATTTATTGAACATAAGAAGCAACTTTCTCGAATGAGCCACGACTTTTGAGTTACTTCAATTTATTGAATATAAGCAATTAGTGGAGTATATTAGCTGTATTAATATGGACTTTGGCGATTCTGTGATTGAATTGGATTTTTTATTGTTTAATAAAAACAGGTTATATATAAGGAAGAAAACTGTCAATTAAATAGCAACCTCGATCGAGTAAAGATTGGCAATTAATCGTGGTTATTTATGTGGTCTCATGTAAGAGCTAAAGCAATAGATGAGTAAGTGCATTGAATCGAGTGAACTAGTTTACCACAAGAAACTACCATGGTGTTCCATTACATTAATTCCTTCATCATCATTACATTCATGCACTGAACGATTCCACTCTCTACTACACATAACTAGAAAAGTCACAAGTCAATCGAACCAACTTACATAACCTGATCATGGTCTTACCTCTCTCACCTTTCCACAGGCCCTACTTCAAAAAAGTTGGAAAAAATCTACACACGACTTTGGGGGGAAAAATTAAAATAAAACAATATAAAGGTCAGTGTTCTCCTCCACCTCCCAGAATCACCTTCTCCTTTCTGGAGTCCAACGCGGCAGGGCTGGGCTAAAATGCGCCGACACCACCCTCGAATCTAAGAGCTCCATGATGGGAGTGAAATTCACACAACGTGGTACCTTATACTGATTGATCGACGCTCCTCTTGAGATCGCGTAATCCATGAGTTCCTCAAACGTGCCATTTCTCACCACCCGAATTTCCAGGGGTCCGATTGAATTATCCGCAACCCGACCCTGTCTGTAAACCGAGTTCAGCGATTCCTCCATTTCCAAACAGCACCGGTTTAGAACCTCCTCGCTCGGCGGGTTCGACGGGTCCTTCATCAGGAGCTCCCAGTATATCACGTAGTGACCTGGGATCGTCTTCGTGTCGGCGTAGCTTGTATACTCAACCACGCTGGTGTTGAACTCCGCGAGGAACTTGGATGCGTTCTCGACGGCGTTCTGTAACTCCGCCTCGTCGGTCTTGTCGGAGTCAATGCTGAGCAGCACGTTTTTCCTCCTCACGAAATGGAATTGCGGGGCCGAGTTGTGGAACCCGGTGACCCGGAGAATGTCCCCTACCCGGTACCGGTATAACCCGGCATAGGTTGTGATTACGAGTTCGTATTCTTTGCCAACTTCGACGTCAACAAGTTCAACGAGTTTCGGAGGAGAGTCTCGGGCGAACCCGGATCCGTTTTCGTGCTCCAGGAATTCGAAGTAGGCCATGTTTGGCATTATAGTGTAAGAGACCTCGGAAGGCTTGCACATCGGGTTGAGATTGAGTCCGAAATAACATTCCGACGAAGCGTACATGGTGCAGGCAAGTGGCAACCCGCCGCTGTAGTAATTGAGCGTGGGGATATACTGAGCCATCGCGCCTGTCACGATAACGTCCAGATATTTTGTGTTGGGCCAAATCCTTGTGATGATACCCTCCCAATTTTCCTTGCAACATTCATGGGAAACGAACGAGGCCAATTCCCGGTCGGGTTTGAGCACCCTGGCCATGTACTCTCTTATTGCCGGATCGGTGATTTTGGGGTTCAAAGTTCCGGATCGGATGTCGTAGCAGAGTGGAGACCAATGAAGCTGGAGGAACCGAATTGCACGGAGGAGACCGGAGGCGAAGACTGCTCCGAGACGGAGGACTTGCTTGCGTTCAATGAGGCCGCAGAGCATCTGGGAGTACATGCTCTGGAAGGAATCGGGGCACAGGATGGCTTCGTTGGGGCTGGTGTAGACATTGTAGGGGTCGAAGGGTCGGGTCTTGAAGTGGTCACTCTTGTAGTAGCTGGTGAGAACGGGTCGGGCCACGAGCCCACCCGGAGTCCTTGTTTCGGATTTGACGAACAAAAAGTACAGTCCCTTGCCTTTGTCCAAACCAGGCACATAACTGTTCCATTGAAATAAAAAACGCGTTTGGGTTAGTAAATGCCAATCGAGTTTGAAAAGATGGAAGCACATGTGCTGTTGATGCATATATATATATATATATATATTTTCTTATAGCGATATTCAATTTTGAGTTCTTCGAGAAGCAACTCACAGGTTCATAACTGGCATGAGAAGGCTGTAAAGAAGCTGGCGACGATCCAGCTCTTCCTTAATTGTAGGCATGAGTTTTCTTTCACCAGCGGAAGTTCCCGAACTGAAATTTCCGGATTAAAAAATTGAGAATCACGATTTTTTTAAAGGAATTGTGAAATTAGTTCCAGCTGTGTTACAGGGCGTGAATGAGACTGACCTTGTTAAGAATTCAGAGACAGGGTGAGCAGATAGAATAGCAGAGCGATCGCCATTAGCAATTCGCTGAATTTCAGGCTGGACGTCCTCGTAGGTGATGACGGGGAGCTTGGACTTGAAGGTGGTGCGGTCGGTGGCACCGCCTAGTCGGAAGCGTTTCAGGTACTCAGTGTCGGCGTTGCGAGTGAGTACCTCGGCCAACACCTTCTCCTGAACAGCATCGGCGTTTCGTGTGGTTTCCTCAATGAATTGAAGCGCCTTAGCATCCTTCTCGCAAGCAGGTGGACCAAGTGGAGAAGAGAGCGCAGAATCCACAGCCATGTTTTTTACAAGAAAGTGTTATAAGAAACGGATGAAAGTGAAGATTCGGAGAAGGAAAGGGATAGAGAGAGAAAGCGTGGAGGAAATTTAAGACAGAGGAGGAGTGAGGAGGGACGAATAGAGGATGTAATTTTTATAGGGAGGGGGAGGGGGAGTGCCACGTCAGAGGAGGTGGGACCCAGTTTGGGGGAAATGAAAACGAAAGAAGGAAAGGAGAAAAGGCCCAGTGGGGAGAGAAGGGAACAGGATTGGGGCCACAGCACGAAGAGGGAAGCAGAAAAGAGGGAGGCATGTGGGGTTGGAAAGCCATGTCAGCAAGAGCACGTTTAATTGGAAGGTAATAGTAATACGCGTCGCCCAACCACACGACCCGTTTCGGGTAAAAATGTTGGACTTTCCCATAGTGATGTGTCCCGCCCCGCCTTCCTCCTCTCCTAACTCCTTTCACGTGAGCTTAACTCTGCGCTAGAGGTTAAACCCACTTTCAATCAGAAATTATGAGTTTGAGCTTTTAATATACAATAGTGATTAAACTCTCGATGTAAAATGTGCCTCTCAAAAATATGTCAACAGGTTACTAACTGAATTAGTTTAAATAAAGATCTAGGATACCAAAATGAGAGCAAAAGAAACATTCTGTCCTAGTCACCAGTGGGTGCTTGAATCAACCGACAAGAGTTTGATATATTTTAATTAAAAATATCAAATTTAAACTTTAGATATACAGTAATAATTAAGTTCTTAGTAGGAGTAGGAATCATGTATCTCAAAGAAATGCTTACATGCTATCGATCGAATTAGTTTAAATCAAATACTTAAGATAGAGGAGCTTGTAAAAAAAAGTTTTACTACATTACGGTATAAGTTATTTCATATATTCTTTTTTTGTTGAGTTATGTCCCGACTGATTTAAGAAACCAATTTCCAAGGTTTAGAAAGTACAAAGTAAATTCTTCCAAACTAAATCTGCTCTACACATAAGTATTCGCTGATCCTTTCCAACTAATCACTTGCATAAATACCAATAACTCATGCCACTCAAGCCAACTTGAACAAGTCATATATCCTAACAGCCACCACTTAAATATCACATACTTTAGGGGCTTTTCCATTTTGTGGTGATACATACGCACGTATATACATACATAACGATGAGAATGTGGGTTCAAAAGTTATTATCTCGTTAATATATGCTCTTTTTGTTTAAAAATACAAGGTTAAGGGATAAAAATGTCTTAAAATTTTTTTGAAAAGAATTATAGCTATATTCTTATATTTTAATTGAAACAATGTCACTTCGAAATTTTTAAAAAGAGAGCAATGTTGCTCAGCCGTGAATCCACATCATGTTGACCATTAAACGTTGTGTTAATCAAAAAATTTCCGTGTGTCCCCTGAGTTGATCTTCTTCTTCCTCTCCCCCCCTCTCACCCTCTTTCTGAACCTTGAACCATCCCCTCTTCACCATCACTTCCGCAACCACCACGCCAACAACATTAGTCACTGCCAGACACTCCACCAGAACTAGGAAATGAGGGGTTGTGCCTTCTTCAGCGAGCACACACTTGCCGCCGCTGCCACATGACTCGCCTCCCTCAGGTATCTATGGGTGCAGGGCTACTGAGTATCCACATCAGACCGAGATCTTTTAGCCATGGATCGCCCCTTTTGGAACATTGAGTTGATTCCTTCTAGATGACTTGATGTTCATAATCATGCTGGCAAAGCTTGTATTCATAGAGCATCCTACCCATCTTCTTGCCTATTACTCTCGCTGGACAAGGATCCAATTTTCTAGATACTGTGAGGCCTTTGGACCCTGTTGCATTCGTTCGATCCTCGAGTTAGTTTGTATATATTCCACATTACTCTGTAAGTCGCTTCTGTTCCTTTTTTTTCTTCCCCTTGCATTTCATAGACATTATTATTATTAGTGCCTTGTAATAAGCTTGTGTTGTAGTACAAAAATTCTTCTCCAGACATGAACTTGGTTCCCTTTCCTAGCGAGATGCTCAATTTTGTGAATAATAAAAAGAAACGTAGGGAGTGTTTTCTCTTTTCCTTCCTTGATTTCCCTTTTTGTCTGCATTTTTTAACTTCTCCAGCTTGAAAGGGGGAAAAAAATGGTGAGCCCGAACCATCCAAAAAGGGAAGCACATGACATGCAGACTTAGTAGATTCTCTCATGTTCAGAGCGAGAGAGAAAGAGAGGGATGCGATGAGTGCGGATAGCCAAATATAAAGAAAATGGGTGACAGGTGTAATATTTTCATTGGTTAAAAGAATTTCGGTAGTCGAACGTTAGTTAAAAGTTAGGAAAAGAGAACATGGCTCTATTTTTAACACTTTTAAAATGACATTGTTCCTTTTTAAATATAACAGTATTTATAACTCCTTTTAAAAAATTTTTAAAATAATTTTCCTCCTTAACCCTAAAATATAAGAGATTGGGTTAGTTCTTATAATTTTTTTTACCTGTACTCTCATTACTTCAATTTGTTATTCTTTTTCTAAAAAATTAATTAAAATTTTAATTGTGATTGTTAAGACAATTATATAAAGCATCTAACAAGGATATAATTTAAATATATTTTTTAAAAAAATAAAATTTTTAATTTTATTTCAGAGCAGTGAATTAGTTATAAATACATTGTCCTGTAGACTGGATGGAGTAATTTACAATTATTTTATAAATATTACAATTTGATACGTAAAATTTTCTGTATTAAGGCCAGCTTTACAAACTTACCTCACGCAAATAGTTTGATGGCAAAAAAAAAAATTGTATATTATAAATAATAGTGTTTGGTAAAATTTGAACTGTGATTAGACTTACCCTATGCTTATTGTGCACGCAAGCCTACCTTTGTTTTTTTGTTTTTTTTTTTTGGGGGGGGGGGGTTTCGTGGCACCTTATGATCTCATGCTTCTTACATAAGCCATTCAAGTTTTAAATTTTTGAGCAAATGCTTGTGTGTGTGTGTTCAGTGAACGTAAGAAGCAGTTGACATGACATGGATGTCTAATCTAATAAAAAAAATGGATGTCTAATTTAATTTTATAAAAAATATTAGATATAATTTTAATATTATATTAGTTTTATATAGCAGCCATTGCCAAAACTCCAACCATTTTCTTTAGTTACGTTCTCATATCCTCTTCTTATCTTCACATATGTAGGTGGCACACGCCAATTTTGATTTTGGTTGTTATTCTCGACCCAAGGTATATTCTTTTTGGCTTTCTGCCCAAAGTATGGATTACGATAAAAGTAGAATTTGTTTGTATTCCAATAAATATTCATGTTTTTAATGTTAATTACATAGGAGTATTAAATAAATTAATAATCAATTAACTAATTTGTAAGATGCGCCTCACAAATGCAGCCTGCAGTTGCACCTAAAACCTTCAAGAGAGAATTCGGTTATTGCTGGAAGAGATTTAACGGTCAGTTTGCTTACCAATTGTTTCAAAATATTAGTTTGGAAAAAAATGTTTCATAATATTTATTCAATAAACGAGCAAATTATTTATAAAATTTTAAATTTAATAGTACTATAAATTCTGAATTTTTTATTATGTAAACTATTCTTTCAAATTTTAAAAATGGTGTAATCTAATTTCTATCATTAATAAAAGTTAATTTAAATTATTAATTAACCAGAAAATGACAGAAAAAGATTTTAAAAATTATAAAAAATGACAAAAAAATTACAAATAAGGGGGGAAAATTACAAGCAAGGATTCAAACTTCTGTTAACTGTAGCTGTTATCAAAAGTTAAAGAAATGATTTACATAATAAATAAGTTTGAAGTGCGGTGCTACGTACTATACTTAAAATTTAAGAGATAATTTACTCATATTTATTTTTAAACGTACAAATACTATTTAATTAAAGGTATTTTTTTTAAAAAAATCTTATTAATTGTGTCTTGAAATACTCAAAATATTTTATATTTTTTGAGGTAATATTTTGAAAGGATACCTTATAATATTGAACAGAGAGAGTAAAACAGTTTTTCAATCAAATGTAGTTCAAAATATAAGACACTTAGTACATCTTAAAATTATTTTTTAACTTTATCAAAAAATTATTTTTCTAAATTTATCATTTTATTAATTAATTTGGTCATAAGAAATTATAATTAATAATTAATCTGGCTAATTACTTGATTTCACCAAGTCACATTCAAAGACCATTCTAAAAATTTATTTGCATGTAATGACCAATACAGAATGAATTATTATTAAAATAAAAATATAGTTTTGTTCCTTTTTGAGTGATCCTTAGATGTAATTTTTCTTTCGGTTAATGACAAAAAAAGATGTCATTGTTTATGAAAGTAAGACAATAGTTACTTGCATTAGTGTGTATATGGTTTGATTAAAAAAAAGATTAGAAAGTGTTTCACAATTTAAACAGGAGGGAGGAAATCATTTGTGTATTTATGATTTGATTTTATTATGATATTTTTGTAAATGACTGAATTATATAATTCGTTTGCAAATTACAAGAAATAATTATATGTGTGTGAGCGCGCGCGTGTATTCCTTGTCACTAACTCATCTAAAGAAATTGATGGCGATTCGTGAAACACTACGTTCATGAGAGGAAATTAGAAGAGATAATTTTTTCAGAAATTAGCAGAGGTAACAACAAATAGGAACTCGCTGGTTTTTTTTTTTTTTTTTAAAGTCTGGTAAAAAAAAGAAAACAGGAACTCTGACAAGGTAATATAAAACATTTTTCCGTTCAAAGTGGACCGTTAAAAGTGGGAATCGAATTTAACGTGATCCACGCATGTTATTCTAACTAACCATTAACTAGTATTTAAGCTTAAAACAATCAACCAGTGAAGATCCAACGAGGTAATTAATCTCAATAAAATTTCAAAACCCAACTGTTGAAGATTCAAGTGTAAAAATAATAAAATAATAAAAAAAAGGGGTTATAACTGCTTAAATGAGAAATCTTGAGTTTGAATCTGTGTAAATGTAGGCAATGCCAGTAAGAGAGCTTTTTCAATTAGTCTTAACAATGCTCAAATCTAACTTAGTTAATAGACATTGACCATAATGAATGAGAT